GGCCGCCAGGGAGAGCGGAGCCCCGGCCGGGCTCGCCGCCCTCCCCCCGGCGCTCTGGCCGCCAGGGAGAGTGGGGCCCCGGCCGGACTCTCCGCCCTCCTCCCGGCGCTCCGTCCGCCAGCGGAGCCGCGGCGGGCTCGCCACCCTCCCCACGGCGCTCCGGCCGGTTGGGGAGAGCGGGCCCGCGGCCGGGCTCGGCGCCCTCCCCTGCCACGCTCCCCGCTGGGGGCGGGGGGCGGCGGGAGGCTTTTTTGCCTGGGGCGGCAAAAAAGCCAGAGCCGGCCCTGGCTGTATTAATGCTTAATAATATATATACTTAAATGCTTGGAATATATATTGCGGGTGGTATTATCAGCATAAAATGTAAGTATGCTAGTCAGCGTATATTAGTCAACAGGAACAACCCATTTCAAGGGCAAACCGAAGAGTTGCTTCACTGTTAACCACAACATTACACATGTGGCTTTGTAACTACCCAACCTGCATTATGGCGTTTAAAGAGACAGCAACTAAGCTTCCCCATCACCTTGGCTTTTTCAGTTACTTACTTTTTTTTAAAGAGACACACAATTATTGACGGAACAATTCATTTCCTGCACAAGGGGGGAAAAGGGTGACAAACACAGAAGGTAACTGACTACATCACAGCGAAGCAGTCGGTGTTATGAGTTGCATTAGGGATACATATCGTTTTTGTAAAAGTTGGATCCATGATTTTGGGCATGTTTAGTCTAGAGAAGAGGAAGCTGAGGGAGATGTGATAACTCTCTTCAACTCTGTCCAAGGCAAGAGGACGGTGATCAATTGTTCTCCATGTCCACCACGGGTAGGTCAACAAGTAATGGGCTTTGTTTGCAGCAATGGTGATTTAGGTTGGATATCAGGAAAAACTTTAGGGATAGCTAGGCGCTGGAACAGGTTGCCAAGTGAGCTGTGGAATCTCCATCACTGAAGGTTTTTGAAAGCAGGGTAGACAACATCTATCCGGGATGGTCTAGGCTTACTTTATCCTGCCTTAGCATGGGAGTGGGGGTGGACTAGATGACCTCTTGAGTTCCCCTCCAGCCTGACATTGCTATGATTCTCTTTTGAATTAGCTCATTTCCTTTGGCCCATCTTTCCTCAAATAGTTCAGTTGCTAAATCCAGTCTCTCTCCTTGTTCAGTTTTCAATGTCAAATGCCTTAAAAAGCAGGAAGGTAACAGATGGAGCCAGCTGCATAAGTCGTCACAAATCATGTTCATTATTAACGTAGCTTCTTTCTAGGTTCATGGATCCAACGTGTTGGTTATTTAGATTTGCCAAATAGTCCAGACAAATAATTTCAGTCTCTTGGACTGTTCACAAACTGTTCGTTTTAGCCATTTGTTATTCCTGGTGTGTGGTTGGTCATCTAAGTCATGTGGTATTGTTTCTGCTCCTTGATTAGCCAACTGGAAGTTTTCAAACAGGAGAACAATAACTAGAGAAAAGCGAGGGATGAATGATGTAGTTCTGGTTAGAATTTTCCGACGCAGAATCGTTCCCACCAGAATTCATGGAGTTTTTGGGGACTTCAAAAATGTTCTTGAATCCCTAGTAATTACCTACACACTCAGGTAAAATAAGAAACACAAGCTCACCAGTCAGAGCAAACCAAACTAGCTGACGGTATTTGCAATTATTCATGAATCGAGGGGGTTTACCCCCACGATTTGACTAGCTTTAGATCCAACTGTTCATATAAATAAAAATCAAAATGCAAATAGTCCACAAAACACAGCAAAACACAAAACTACCGCAAATCGTGTCCTGGGGTAAATTGTGTGATGGTAGCTGAACTGGCGGCATTGTGTCTTTGGATGTCCCATAGTACACTGTGTCTTTGGGTCTTCCATAATACCTCGTGTGTTTGGGCCTCTGATGTATTCCCAACCGACAAGCCTCACAATGGTCACTCCGATGTGGTCCATAGTGCTGTCCTATCACTGTAACCTCAGATAACTGGGCCACATACTCTCCATAGCATTTCTCTCTAATGCTGATGACCAAGTTCTCCAAGACCTTCTGGACGCTTTCCTCCTTGAAATTTGGCTCTTCTAACTTACCCTCGGAGCACTCATAACATTCTTGTCTGAAGACTCTCATCTTCACCCAGCCTTGTCTCCTGCGCTGGTCCAGGTACATGTGGAACAGAATAACCACTTGAACTGATGACCAGAAATGCTGGCAAGATGAGCACTGGAAGCTAAAAAGAGGAAAGAGATATAGCATGCATAGGGTGACCAGATGTCCCGATATTATCGGGACCATCCTGATATTAGAGGCTTTGTCTTATATAGGCAACTATTACCTCCCCCACCCCCAAAAAAGTGTCTCCATGATTGGCAGCTCCGGCAGCTGCCTGTCGGTGTGGTTGAGCTGCTTGCCTGCAGACAGGAGAGGCTCCACTCCCGCTCCTGCCCACGCTCAGTATAGGGTTTGTAGATTCCATTACAGCAACCAACCAGCAGCGCCTGCTATCAAACTCAAGGCTAATTAAAGGCATGGGGCCAACCTCAGATCTGGTGTGAGCAGGTGTAATGCTCACCACGCTGTGTCCGCCACTGCCTTGCCTTGTTTTAATGCATTTCAATGTAATTACAGATTCATAGATTCTAAGGCCAAAAGGGACCATTGTGATCATCTAGTCTGTCCTCCTGTGTAACATAGGCCAGAGAACTGCCCTACAATAATTCCCAGAGCAGAGCTTTTAGAAAAACATCCAGTCTTGATTTTAAAATGGCCACTGATGGAGAATCCACCACGACCCTTGGTAAGTTGTTCCAATGGTTAATTACTCTCAATGTTAAAAATGTATGCCTTATTTCTAGTCTGAATTTCTCTAGCTTCAACTTCTAGCCATTGGGTCCTCTTAGACCTTTCTCTTCTAGATTGACAGCCCATTATTAAATATTTGTTCCCCATGTAGACAGTTATAGACTGTAATCAAGTCACCCCTTCATCTTCGCTTTGTTAAGCTAAATAGATGGAGCTCTTTCAGTCTATTGCTATAAGACACGCTTTCTAATCCTTTATTCATTCTCCTGGCTCTTCTTTGAACCCTCTCCAATTTATCAGCATGCTTCTTGAATTGTGGGCACCAGAACCAGACACAGGATTCCGGCAGCCCTCGCACCAATGCCAAATTCAGAGATAAAATCATCGCTCTGCTCCTACGTGAGATTCTCCTGTTTATGCGTCCCTGGGTCAGATTAGCACTTTTGGCCTCACATACAGCAGATTATCCAGCACCCCCCCCCCAAATCTTTTTACAGTGAGGTAAAACCGGAGTAGCACCTTGTATCAGGCACCATCAATGTCAGTCCAGCACCTTCCACCAGCACTAAATGTTCCAGAGGCTTTCACAACAATACATGCCCTTGGGGTGGTATTGCCCTGACTGCCAGGCAACTGGATATAGATCTATACATATTCATACTGTAGCCACTTGATGGGCGAATCCTCAGCCAGTGTCAGTTGACCTAGCTCCAGGGCACCCAAAGGAACTACTCTGATTTACAACAGCTGAGGATCAGGCTAGTCCCTACCTGTTCTGACACCGTGCTGCACCCCGGAAGTGACCAGCAGCAGGGACAGCTCCTAGGCGGGGGGGCCATGGGGCTCCGCGCACTGCCCCCACCCCGAGCACCAGCTCCGCACTCCCATTGGCCGGAAACTGGCCAAATGGGAGTTGGAGGGGGGAACAGTGCCTGCGGGCGAAAACTGCGTGAAGCCGCTTGCGCGCCTCCCCCTAGGGGCCAGACCTGTTGCTGGCCACTTCCGGGGCACAGCGCAGTCCGCGGTGCCAGGACAGGCAGGAAGCCTGCCTTAGCACCCCCGCTGCACCACTGACCGGGAGCCACCCGATGTAAGCCCGTGCGCCAACCCACGCCCCACTCCCCCGCCCTATCCCTGAGCCCCCCCACAAACCCGGAGCCCCTTCCTGCACCCCAAACCCCTCATCCCCAGCCCCACCCCAAAGCCTGCACCCCCAGCCCAGAGCCCTGACCCCCTTCCGCATCCCTGCCCCAGCCCAGAGCCCTGACCCCCTCCCGCACCCCAACCCCCCGCCCCAGCCCTGAGCCACCCCAAACCCAGAGCCCCTCCTGCACCCCAAACCCCTCATCCGCGTCCCCACCCCACAGCCCTCACTGCTACATTCCAACCCTCTGCCCCAGCCTTGAGCCCTTCCCACACCCCAAACCCCTCATCCCCAGCTCCACTGGGTCGCGGGCATCAACAATTTTCTTCAACTGGGTTGCCAGAAGAAAAGTTTGAAAACCCCTTGTCTAAGGTACTTATCTGGCTCTCGTCACCATAGCATCTGGGCACCTCACAATCTTTAAAGCATTTATACTCACAACACCTCTGTGAGGCAGGGCAGTGCTCTCACCCCCATTTTACAGATGGGAAACTGAGACACAGAGAGGCTGAGACCCAGATCCTCAGACCCATTTAGCCAGTTGCGGGCTCAAACCCAGGTCCCCCAAACCTTATGATAGTGCCATAACTACTGAAGCATTAGAAGGAGCACCTCCTCACTAGGCCCTGGGGACAATCCTTAATTTGTGCCGGGGCTTGCTGCACTTCTAGGCTCGGCAATTCATAGCCCCTGCACCTCTGGGCTCCCGGCCACACGCTCCAGCCACCCAGCTCTGAAGGCAGCACCGTCGCCTGCAGCAGCGCAGAAGTATGGGTGGCAATACACCAGACCATGCCATCCTTATTCTGTGCTGTTGCTGGCAGCGGCGCTGCCTTCAGAGCTGGGGGCCTGGCCAGCAGACGCCGCTCTCCAACCGCCCAGCCAGTGCTTAATTTGTGCTGGGGCTTGCCGAGGTGGAAGCCCAGCACCGCTTTCATTACAAACTAAGCACTAGCTTGGGTTGCTGTCCTGGTGCTGTCTCCATGTCCAACAACTTTCAAATAGCATAAGAGAGAGACTATAAAACCCAAACAAAAAACTAAACTTCTAAAACAAGAGGAGTAGCAGCAGCTTTTGCAGAAGCGGGGGGAGGGAGGGGCGTGTGGTGGCTGGAACAGAAAATGCCTCTAAAAAAAGGAAACATTTTTGAAATCGGGAGATACATTTAAAGGCATAATTAATTCCAAGGCATAATTAAAGCAACTGCATATAGGCTACCACGCCCCCCCCACACACACACTGCATCCCTCACTAAAAATAGATCATTTGTCAATGACTAAGGAGGTGGTGATATAAGTGAAGTCCTAAAGAAATCCCCAGCTGCCCTATCAGCTGCTGCTTCTCACCTGGCAAATGCATGTTCTTGCAGTGATTGTTTCCAACCAGGTCCCAAGTCATTGTAATCAAGGTTCTGGTGCATCTTTAGGTCCCAATAGTCTTGTGGCTTCACCTCCGCTATCTTCTCATAAAACATTTCTCTCCAAGAATCCATGTTCAGCTTCTTCATCTCTCCGGATGTTCGTGAGGACACTCCAAAGCGTGCTGAGTTACAAATGGAGTTTTGATTGTTTACTTCCCACTTCTATCTCATCACCTGCTGAGCGGCAGGGTGGGGATTTGAGTTCCTTCACTGCCAGAGATACCGGATAACTTCTGTGTGTGAGAGAAATGAAACTGAAAGGAGTTTTGTTTCCAAAGCTAATCTGGTTCTCCAGTTTCTGCCTGGGGTATATGATAAGGACTGTATTTCCGAGATGGGTGAATGCCTCCAAACGATGTGTGTGAATAGTCACTCACATAAAAAGTTGGACTGGCTTTGTTTTCCCCATTGATTCAGCAGAGCTGCGGCCATGTGATTACTGAGACAGGCAGAGAAGAAAACGGGACACAGACTTCATCCCAGGGCCTAGGTTTTTCCCATGTCATTGTGTCAAAATGCAAATGTCACGACATCTGGAGAAAAGATGGGCTCCTTCATTGCCCCTGGCTGCTATACTAGCATGACATGGGACAGACCCATGGAAGCAGGACCAGTCAGCCAGTCCCTGGTCAAGAGCGCCTCCCGGAAAGTCTTTCTCCAGCACTCAGCCCTGCAGGACTGGGCCATTCTGTCACTTAGTCCTCCAGTTCTGAACTGCGGCTACTACTTTATTCTGTGGTTGTTCTTCAGCATCTCCTTTGGCGATTCCTCCTCCTTCTCCCTCAGTGGAGTTACCTCCACTTACATCAGCTCTGCATCCGAACACCATGTGTTGTGTAGAGCCCAGAGCACTAACTGGGCTGGTATCTCTTACTCCATCAAACCAAGACACTCCTAGCTAAAATTGGAAGGCATCGTGATCCCACCAACAGCCATCGCGGTAACTATTTCAAGAACTTACTCCTGGTCAATTGTAATCAGGCAGTTAACGCATTAAGAATACAGCCCTATGGGCAGATATTGGGAATGACGTTTTCATGTGTTGGCAGGACGTGATGGGACAGATACGTGCTCTACAGTGGGGATCCTTCACTTGTTCTCCAGCGGGTAGCTTAGAGGTTAATAGACCTCAGCGTGCTGCTAGGCCAATAGCTTTAGTTCCAGACTTTAGCCATTACGGTGTAGATGTGCCACGGATCCGTGTTGTCCCCACACCCCAGATCAGCAGCAGTGCTGTGAAGGCCAGCCCTGCCACCGGAGCCATGATTGGCTAAAGGATGGGCAAGCAGGAGAAGCATCTCCCCACACCCCCAGCCTTGGCTGGCTGGAGACCTGCCAGGATATCCTTCCCCTACATCCCGCTGCCAGCTCTCCTCTGATTGGAGGGTGGGTGTGACAGTCGTCTGTCGCAGTGGGTTTGCCATTCCAGGCTGCCGGAGAAGGCGTGTGCTGGCTGGATAAAGCCCGCCCAACCAGAGCCTGAGCTGGGAGGGACGGCGGGGCAAGGCCAGGGCGCAGCCTGAGCATGTCGCCCCGTCACCCTGCACTGCCCTAGTCCGGGACTGAGACGCTAAGGCTGGAGGGATCGTGGAGGCTTTGAGTGTTGGATGGACGCAGAGCTTCCTCTCAGGCATCTGGGATTTCTGTTACACTCCCACTGAGTGGCGACTGTTGGCAATCACCCTGGGGTGCTGCCCCTGCTAATAAAGGGACTAGGATAGATCTGTGCACCAGGGCAATTGCTGGGTGAACTCCTGCCTCCCCAAAGGGTGTAGGGTTCACACCACACCCCAGCAGAGAGGGAAGCTCCCCTGCTTCCTCTGATATTTCAATTTAAATGTGATGCGTTATTGAACTGATACAATAAGGAGAAAATACCAAAGCCAAGTATTGGTCTATTAACATGGAAAATACAGGACGCAGGAAAAGCTGCAGCCGGAGAAGTGGGGCTAACGAATCCGTAGGTAGATGAATAGGGCTGGATCTGTAGGCCTTTGCCTTTCAGATAACAGATCCCCAGAGCACACGCCTCACAACGGGTCGTGTCATGTGGCCCTTCCACATCTTCTTCGACTACGGGGTCAGCTAAATCACGGTTTGCGATGGACTCTCGGTAGCATTTCTCATGGATCTTCAGCACCAACTTGTCCAGGATCCTCTCAATGTTCTCCTGGCTGAACGTGGGCGACTCAAACTTCGCTCCATGACACTTCTTACACTTCTGCCCACAGACCCTCATCTTTACCTGCCCCTGGCGCTGGCTCCGGTCCAGGTGCATGTGGAAGAGAATGAGCACTTGACCGATGGCCAGTGACGGGTGCAGCATGAGCACTGAAACCTACGGGGGGGAAAGGAAGGGACATTTAACCCGGCGCGCACACCAGCCCCCAAGCTCAATGCTGAGAAAGGCTCATCCCCTGACATTGGGCTTGATTCTGCAAGGGGCTGAGCACCCCCAAACTCTGTTGCTGTCCACGCAAGCAGCGCTCAGCGCTCTGCAGGATCAAGTGCCCATATGGCATAGTCCTAATAGCATTCACTCACATTCACCTGCCACCCCAAAGGGTCAGGCAGCAAAGTGTTGGACAAGTTCACAACTTGGTAATATTTAATAACTGAACACTCCAGCAGAAGTGCCAGAACCTCCCCTGCCCCGCCTCTTCCCCCGGAGGCCCCACCCCTGCCCCACCCATTCTCCCCAAAGCCCCGCCCCCCACCCACTCCTCTTCTCCCCTCCCCCCATCGCTCGCTGCTTTTCCCTTCCCCCCTGGCCACCCAGGGACTCGCCTGTGGAGCTGGGGCTGGGAGCTGCAGCTGCCTCATGAAGGCAGGAGGGGGCCCAGGCTGAGTAGGGGCTGGAGAGGGTGATGACCCGGTGCCTCCCCGCCTTCCCTGCTCGCAGTAACCGGATTTTGGGTGTCTGGTCAGTAGATCTGATCAGACGCTGTCAGGTCTCCTTTTCGACCGGACTTTCCGGTCGAAGACCGGGCACCTGGCCACCCTACAAATTCAACGTATTGGGTTTCAAAGCCGGCTCCTGTCGGACTCAATGGGAGTTTTGCCCTTAATAGCCAGACCTTTCTACAAACATTGCCAACTCAAATGACTTCCCCAGAGGAAAGCTCCAATGCAATTAAGTTTCCTCCCCTAGCTCTAGATGGGCAAAGACTCTACTTACTAATCAATCCGAGTAAAACCCAGCCCCCATTCCGCCTGGGAGCACAGTCACTTCCTCCACATGGGCTCAGCATGCCCATGGGTCATGTTTCATGCAGCAGGGCCCACTGCAGCTTTGCAACTGATTTCTAACTAAGCCTTCCGAGCTGGACTGAGCCTAGAACTGGGGCACTTTTCAATTTACAGCTGAAGTCTAGGCTCATTCAGGAGCAGTCTCCAACCTGAATTTGTTTGCATTTGTGGATCAGTCTCTCGCCCATAACGAGAGATGAGCAAAAAATTCATTTGGAATCATTTGTTCCACAGTTTTCATCTCTCCTTCTCTTCACAGCCAGCAAGCAGAGCACGATTGTCTTGACCGCTGACCAATACTGTCTGAATGTTTCCTGATGCTGTCTGTATCCATCTGTTGTCTCTTGTCTTATATGTAGACGGTAAACTCTTTGGGGCAAGGACTGTCTTGGTTCTGTGTTTGTACAGCACCTAGCACAATGAGGTCCTGACTGGGTCTCCTAGGTGCTCTGGTAATACAAATATGTAGTGATAATAATATATTATTAGAGGGATAATCTCTGTGAATAATTCTTGGCCTACTGTCCCTTAGTGAGTATTTGACATTCGAAATGTGATCAGTGTTGACGTGCCATGTATATCACATGATCCATCTCTGTTCCCGGATTGGATGAGCACAGCTCTTAGCTGACGGTATCTGGAGTGAAGACGTGTGGTCAGATATGAAATTGAAAGATGCATATATCCTGCAATAGTAAATTCACTGCTTCCGCCAGCTTTCTGCTTGTTTGCTAAACTACTGATGGAAATTCAAGGGAATTTGTTTAAATATGCTGTCGTCCTCTAACCATGACATCATTTCCACTCCTGGGAGGGGGGAGTCACCATTTCCTGCTCTACAGACTTTTACAGTGGTGGAAAATGCTAATTAACAGGAGGCAAATATTTAGTGCCATCACGGTGACTCATCAGCACTAATGGCTAGGTGCCGTACAGCTAAATCCCTTTTACACGTGTGTGCAGCGAACACAAGGACTAGCCCAATCGATCATTCAGTCGCAGCTATTCCCAAATTTCGCACCTGCCCTCCCTGCTTCGTTCCCCACTAACACTAACCTAAGCCTCCCCTAACCCAGGCTGTGGCCTTGCCCACGCTCCACCCCAAAGCTGGCGGGGGCTCAGCTCGGGCCAGTGGCCAGGGCTCAGGACGGTTTGGCTGGGCTCCTCTGGCCGCAGTGGGGGAAGAGGGCTCAGGGCTCTGGCAGGCAAGGGAGGTGGAAGGGACGGGAGGCTAGCCTCCCCAAAGGCGGGGTTCACGCGCCATCCATGCCTTCGAGCATCATTCACTCCCCAGTTTGTCTGCTCCTCCTCACCTGGCAAATGCTTTTCTCTGCTGGTATAGGTGCCCTCGGCGTTCTGGGTTTCGAGGACTGAGGTTATCCTCCATGGTGAGAGACTAGGTGTCATTTGGCTTCTCCCATTCCAACTTCTGATCAAACATCCGCTGCCAGGTTTTCATGTTCTCACCTTCCCCTTTACAGCCTCTCTTGAGCCGCAGCATTTATTGTCTGAACCAGGAATGTGACTTATTTAAGGGGGGGGGCTCTGGGTCTGCAACCGTCCTCTCCCTCTCTGAGGAACAGCCTTGCACAGGTGGGCTCCTTTGCCTCGTTGCTACCGACTCAGGACCCTGGGTGTGGAATGAAGCTCAGGGCTTGTGAGAAACGAAACTGAAAGGGGAGCTAACGTGCTGCTTGTGTGCAGGACTGCCCTCCCCACTGGGATCAACTCCACGGTATTTCCTCTGGGCCACATTCAGCCCGGGGACCACACATCCCTGCTGGAACGCCACAGCTTTCTCGTCCCCTCGTGCACACACAGCCTCAGCAGCAGACCCCACTGTATCCCACCTGACTTTGCAGCACTGATTCCCTCCTGTAGGCATCTACCTCCCTTTCCATAGGGTGGTGCTGCCACTTTGCTGCCACCAGGAGGCGCTGCTTCAGGGAGACAGGGGAGGGACTTCCAGCCGGGGCCAACGGTCTCTGGATCAATGTTTTTGCCCTCTGCATCATTCAGCCGTCCTCGGGAAACAGGCCTCAGCCCTCTCCTCGCCCTGCAAAAGGCTGCAAAGCCCTCCTGGGAAGAGCCGTGTAAAAACCGACACACAAGAAGCCATTTGCAGGGCACAAGACGTTTTACTGGTCCTACAAACGCCAGGAACAATGTATTCTTGAGCGCCATCTAGCAGCACCTTCTCTAATATCTAGTTACAGATATACGCACACAGCGTAGTCTTGTGTAGCGCCCCCTCTCCACCCGGTTACCCTCTTTAATGCCAATCTGCTTACAGGTTTTGATGGATAGGTCTGGGTTCTTCTGGATCCCGCCACCCACTCAGCAGGGTGTATCTTCTTTATTTTTCCCTATGAAGATACCTCCTCGCTCCTTCCTGGCAGGGTCACCAGGGCAGCTTGGGAAGAAAATTCTAACCACAGGGTAACCCCCACTTACTTGCCAGATAGTTGGAGACTCCCAAGAAATAACACAAACACATACAATATCTTCAGCACAGTAATTATATTAAACAGGAGACAAATACAACATAACAGGGTAAAACACTATTCCTAGGGTCACCGGTGCCCACGCTGCTAATACCCGTGACTTTCCCCAGTCACGTGACCTGATGTAGCAAAAGTAAGATTAGTGTCCCGTTGGTACGCGTACTTTGTTGGGGCCCTGGATGACCTATGACCACGAGATCGTCTCTGCAGTGGTTTAGCAGTGACTGGGTTCAGTACAGCCCAAAGGACTCACAAGTGGGAGGAGGTGGTAAGTCCCTCCACAGGTTTAATATGCAGCAGGTTATAAAATCCCCAAACCCTCACTCCCTGGCTCGAAGACACAGTTCAGGGAGTAGGGGGTCCCCAAAACAAGTTCCCTGACTGACTAACTAAAGGATGGTGCACTCACAAACTCCATGAATGATCCTCACGTTCAGAGCTGACTCTGGACTCCTCAGTCACTGCAGAGGGGCTGATCTCTGCTGGCTGGGATCCTCTCCAGGCAGGAATCAGGCTGCTTCGGTCCCAGGATTTTCCCTCCCCACAAAGGGGTGCAGGGCTCAAGGCGCAGGTTACACAACTGTACTAAAATCCAAACTGTCGTCTCCTAGCCCAGCGTCCAGACTCACTCCCAGCAGGCAGCAGCCCTGGACTAGCAGCAGGAGCAGAGCTGACCATGTGGGGACTGGTCTCCTCTCGGGAGCTGGAGGGCGAACTCAGCTTGGCTGGGGAAGTTTCCCAGCAAAACTCTACAAACTGGGAATTATCAGTGGAGAAGGAAAAGCCCAGCTGAGGGATCTTGCTGTCAGGTCCCTAGAGGCCAGTTCTAAGGGGGAACCCTGGCCTGGGACTCCCCAGCCCCCCACAGCCAGTCCTGCCCTTGCCCTGGCTGGCTCCAGACAGACTCAAAAAAATGGCTCCTCCCCTTTCCTGAACTCCCTGGGTGGGGCAACTCACTCCCTATTGGTTGCCGGGCAGACTCTGAGTCTGCCCAGGCTCCCCCTCCCCACCAGGGACAGTGCCTCTCCCTGAGCTGCCAGCAGACAGAGCCCCGAGAATCTCGGTCATCTCCTTGGGGGTGCACTTGTAACACCACCCTTTAAAGAAAAGGACGCAGAGGAGAACTTGCCAGGGGTTTGCAGCAGACTTTCCGAGCAGTTTGTCACAGGCAGGCAACAACAGCTGGCCCGTGGGACGGAGAGGTTTCCAGGACGTTTCATGGGAACGCATCAAACCCGCGTTGAATGTAAAGGGCTCAAGGCCTGGCCAATCAGCCTGACACACAAAGGGCCTGAGGTTGTGAAACAGCCTCCCAATTGCCGGCGGGAAACGTTGTGTCTACAGGCACTAAAATTACAGGCATCACGGAGGGTATCTAGACTCCTCCCGACTCAATTGCAGCTACATAGATATTTAAACAGGAGGCTGTCTGTCCTCAGGCAGCTTAGAAAATCATGCCCAAGTTCTCTATCTAGGGGCAGGGGTTCCACCAACTCAAGAATCAATGAAGCCCTAAACACTCCTTTGAACTCCCTAGGATCAGGTGAGCGAATTCAAAGGTCTTTTGCCTGACGTACATCTTTCTGTTCTATTGCTCGGCTTATCCAGGGCTGGATCCTGGGGAAGATTACATATGCAACAATTAAAGAGCCGTTCTACTCTGAAAACTGACCATGCAAAAAGGGAACTTAGGGGTCCATAGCTACCGTCCCCCAATGGCTCTTAGATGAAATCTGCTCAGCTGGGCAATAAAAAGATATTTTTTCTAGCTCTCAGCCCAATGCACGCATTCAACCCTACATATACAGGTACATTATCTATTATTACTAGGCTTGGCAGAATTTGGTTACTTATATAATTTGAACAGAAAATATCCATGGTTATTTTTAAGCATTTTTTATTTTTATCTCTGTAAATTTTCACAGCTGCAAAAAAAAATGGGTTAGGCGTTTTTTTCCAAATGTTTATTGATTTAAATATTCATAGTTGTGGGAAATTAGGAGGCAGTCAGGCAGTTGCGGGGGGGTCAGACAATAATTACTTCATGACAGACAATGTTGCGATTCAAAAAATTAAAGCTTTATAACCGTTAAAGCGCAAACTGTCAACATCGCCCGTCAAAATATACCAAGTAAATATCCTGAAATCAAGTATCAGAGGGGTAGCTGTGTTAGTCTGGATCTGTAAAAAGAGTCCTGTGGCACCTTATAGACTAACAGAAGTATTGGAGCATAAGCTTTCGTGGGTGAATACCCACTTCGTCAGACGCATGTCTGATGCATCCTGAAATCAAATGCTAACAAGGCCCCAAGCAGCATTTTTCTTACTTTGCCTATCGGTAAATTTCAATTACTGATGTTGGTTTATGTGTGTGTGGTGAAAATTGACATTTACTCACATTTACAGATAAAAATTTAATCTTTCCAAGCCCAATTATTACTCAGGTTATTACAAAAACAACAAGGAGTCCGGTGGCACCTTGAAGACTAACAGATTGTGGATACAGACTAATCAGGTTATTACAGTTCAGTTACATTAGGGACACAAGTCTGAGTGTCGGATTTCCACTACTTGTTTTTGAAATAAAGCAGAACAAAAATGAGCACAGCCAAAAATATGACCAAACAACAACTGTAGCAACAGAAGCGCCGCCAGTCACAGCTGCTCCCCGAGTCACGGCTGCTCCCCGTCTCTGCTTCGCTCCATTCCTCCTGGGCAGGAAAGATGCGTGGCAATAGAGAAGCAGACCTAAAGAAGGTGCTGGCTGGTGCTTGGGCTTCATATTTCAAGCAACAGATGCCCAGCCGGCAGGCTTCACAGTGGGAGCTATCATGCGGCCCCATTATCTGAGCTTCCACAATGATCTTGGACAGGTCGTGGGGATTGATGGCCTCTCTGTAGCATTTCCCGCGAATCTTCAGCATCAGGTTCTCCAGGACTCTCTCGACGTTCTCCTGGCTGAATTCAGGCAGTTCCAGTTTCGGCACAAGGCACTTCTTGCACTCTTGTCTGAAGATTTTCATCTTCACCTGGCCCCGTCTCTGCTTCCGGTCCAGGTGCATGTGGAAGAGAATGTTCACCTGAGCCGAGTGCCAGGTGTGCCAGCACTGTGAGCACTGAAACCTAACAGGAGAAAGCAGGAGACAAAACTTAACCCAGATTCAAAGCCCTCAACCGGCTGCAGCTGCTAATCTGAGAACTCAGCCTCTGTCCCGCAAGATGGGTTCCGGAGCGCTGTACACGGGCAGTGGAGATCGAGAGGTGTAGGTAGTTATTACTCGACGGAGCGCTATCTACTAGCACTGAGGAATGTATAGCATTGTTTATTAGTTAGTAGGTTCAATACAGCTGTCGTTGTTATGCCTTGCAAATGGTTTCCGGCACGAGTCCACTCTAAACAGGATGGCTTCTGCTCCTCTATATGATAGATATTGAGAGCTGGTTTTGGCTACAGATGTTTGACATTCAAATAGTTATGGACTCTAGTGGCCTCCGGACCATCTCTCACGCTTCCCCGATGCCTAGAATTCCCTCCTGATCTGCAGCAGCAGCTATCGGATACTGACCCAACACACAGCTTTCTGTAACATTGACCCAGGTGCGGTGACGAGGGCCAGGAAATAAAGACCAGTCTGTTCCCAGCCCCCCTGCATGCCATGCCCTCACTGCGTCGAACACCACAGCTCCCCTCGGCCACCTTCACACCCCTCCTCCAAACCTACTGTTTCAAGAAGGCTTCCGAGCTGTAGCCCCTCAGAGGTTGAAAAATAATAATGGTCATGGTCATAAAAATCCCCTTTGGCCCCGTCTATTGAGAGTTTAAGCTTTCTAGGGGCAGAGATTCATTGCTCTTCGGCTGAGAATGCCTCGCTCAAGGGAGTGCAAGCTGGCAGAGGCCTTTGGGTCCTATCACCATCCAAATAACTGTACATCACATGCATTAGCTTCCCAAGTGACCACACGCTCCTACTGTCCTCTCCCTCCTCGCTCCCTTTCCCGGCTCCTCCATCTCCTTCTTAATTGAGATTGTAAATTCTTTGGGGCAGAGAATCTCACTTTTGCTGTATTGGACAGCCCCATAGTGCTCCATAAGTAACATATAACAATCATCCAAGTGTTCAGTAGAACGAGGTATAGATTTAGCTGCTACTGCATCCATATTTGCTCCCAGAATCCTTCTGCAAGCCACTCCTCGGCTGCTGCCTGTCCACCGCAACCGGCCCCTGGCTCCAGCTGATCTTTCCATTGTTATATGGATTCGGGCTGACCCTTAGAGTCTTCCTCTCTGGCCCCGCTTGCAGGCGAGAAACAAAGAGGCGACCCTAGAGAAGTAAAGAGCCAGCAGCAAAACCAACCCAGTTTGGGCATGGTGGCTCCGTGGGCACCTCCGAGGACAGCAAGCTCAGCATAATTCAGCAGCCATAAAGCTGCAGGCCTGGAGCCCTGGGGGTGGGGAAATAAACACCGGGGATGAAAATCAGCAGAATGAGTGGGCGGCGGCACTGGGTCAGATTTCGAGATGACACTGACAATGTCTAGAAGAGCCAAGGTGGGTGTAATTCACTGCTTCCCCCAGCCCCGTCCATGTGCATGACCCAGCCCTCCACGGCCACCCCTGCATTGCCTGGCCCCTCACTCACCCACCCCCAACCTACCCCTCGGCCTTCTCATCTCCCTCCTTCCAGGTCAGCCTCTTGGTCTCTCCCCACCCCCTCTTCCTCGCCCTCCCCTTCTGTCACCATCTCCCTCCCTGCTGGTACTTTCCAGACACTTCTCCCTCCCCACCCATGGCTTTCTGTGGTCTGTGGCAGGTCTAGCATGCTCCAGAACAATAGATATTATCATAAAAATCCAGCGCCCAGATACTACAATGATGGTCACATTGCAAATATTTAGGTAACTAGACATTGTTAGAACTGGTCAAATTATTCCTTAAGATTATTTGCAATGATTGAGCCCTATTTTCTGGTTAGTGAATCATTCATCAACTGATTCTACATTTGTTCATGGGCTTGCTATTTGTAAGGATTCACCAAATACTTTGGGCTAACAGCCTTCACCGTCTTCAATTGTTGCCAAGCCGGGCTCTTTAACTGGACACCTGAGCCATATGCTATTGCTTCTGCGCCCTGATTGGATGGCGAGCATTCTAAAGCAGAGGATAACAAACGATGGAGTTCAGGTGTGAATTTTCAGGCGATGAATCAATCGCTGCTGCTACATTGTGTGAAACTCCTGGGTTTCACACACATTTTGACAAATGCCCACGAGTTGTGCAGATATTTACAAATATAGAATAATATGATCTCACTCATCACAGGAAATGGAACTTGGAGTCTGTAGTCACAAGACTATTAGTGAATAGAGCTTGCCTGAAAGTTCAAAACTGTCAACAAAAACGGTGCAAAAAAATCCACAAAATTTGTCAGTAAACATCTCTTTGTTGGAGCCGATAAGTGATTCCTCCCTTCCCCCCTCCCCATGAAAAATTTTGAGGGGATGTCGAAAAACCGAAACATTTTCCGTTTGGGGCTTTGGGGGGAAACCCCAACGTTTTTTGAAAAAAACAGCTGTTTTTCATGAAAATTTCCATTTGATCCAAAAAGCCATTTCCCTTCGAATAATCATTTAGGAGGAAGATTTGCCACCAGCCCGACTCTTTGTGCATTAGTTCTTCCTTTACTATTCAACCAGCTCTTAACAGCCTGTGGTAGTGCTATGCAAGGAAGATGTTGCTGCTCACAAAGCCCTTTGCTAACCCCGTTCTCCTGCTCCCTACCCCTCACCTGGCAAACGCATGTTGTTGCAGGAATTGCTTCCATCCAGGGTCCAGGTCGTTGGACTGAAGGTTATAATCCACCTTCAGAGTCCACCTGTCTCCTGGTTTCATCTGCCCAATCTTCTGAGAAAATATTTGCTGCCATATCTCCATGGTCCCAACTCATCTGCCTTTGGAGCTGGTTTCGTTTTTGCACTATGACCGTGATCTGCTGGAGGGATCCGGACTGAAATTTGAGTCTCCTGTCTTGTGACTTCCACGGCTGTGGCTGGGGAAGAGACCTTTGCGGGTTGCTTTCCTTTCCCCAGAAACAGGTGCCACCCCATGGCACAGAACCAAGTTTGGTGTTTGTGAAGTTCGACCTTTGCTCCCAGACAAAGTCCCTGCACTGAGTCACACCCAGAATGACTTTGCTGACACTGCGGGTGCTCCGTGCGGTGCCAGCCAGGGCAGAATTTGGCCACAACACAATACAGAGCAGCTCTCCCAAAGGAGTCTGCTGGTTTTGCACCTGTGGGCTGTGGGGGGGTGAAGTAGTGGCCATGCACGCGGTTGGCTCTGTCTTCAGTGTCTCTGTGCATCTCCCATGACAACCCAGCACTTCAGCCAGTCTGGGTGTGCTTAGGAAGTGTCCTAAGGAGTGTTGTCATTTGGGGGGTTCAAATGATAATGATTAAACTAGTATCAGGATGTTTCTAGCCCCCACCCCGCCTCCCAAACATAAAGCAAAGACAGTTCTCTGCTCCAAAGCGTTTGCAGTCTAGATAGACAACACGCAGGGGAGGATTCAGGAAACGCAATTAACCCCATTCCTTGCTATTTTCATTTTGCTTTAACCCAGTTCCTATGTATTTGTTCACCCCAAGCTAGGGTTTATAGTATGTGTCCATAGGCAAATACTAGCCATTTGGGTCCATCTCTCACCATTTCCCTCTGTGACTTCCCCTCCCTATAGCCACCGGCTTCCTCCCACAACTTCTTAGGATCTTTTCCCGCGCCTGGCAAAAGTGCATTGCAAACTTTCTTATAAGAATGTTGTTTGCATCTCGTGTTCATTTCCCCAGCCCCTCTCCTCCTGACGCCACAGTTTTGATCTTGCTCGTCTCCTAGCCAGCCAAGGCAGCTTAAAGTGGGTTGTAGCCCACGAAAGCTTATGCTCTAATAAATTTGTTAGTCTCTAAGGTGCCACAAGTACTCCTGTTCTTTTTAAAGCACAGGAGAGGCTCTGTAAACAAAGCAATGCCTCCTTTAGTTACAGAACAGAGAATTCCCTTGCCCCTGCTCTGTTATGGCCAGCCTAAGCCAGATTGTTTCTTAGGTTGTAAACTCTTCAGGGCAGGGACCAGGTCTACCTCTCTCTCTGCAGCGCCTAGCACAACCAGGCCACAATCCTGACGGAGGCCTGTGGGCACTACCATCATATACATAACAATAATTCATCATAATGTGTGTCTGATGGTCAGTCTAGTTGGTAATTACCCCACCACCTAGCATCTGGCTAACAGCCGCCCACCGCCATCACTGCTCATGGATAACCGCACTTGGGACCAGAGGCGAATTTAACAAACAATGCGGTGGCACGGGCTCCCAATAACAGGGGTGCGCAGAGACGTGCCAGCAGCAGGGCTAAGCCGCGTGCAGAGACCCCGTGACACACACACCCCCGCCTAGGAGCCACTGCCAGAGTGGTGTGCCGGTCGCTTTGGGGTGTACCGGTCGCCTCCCTGACCCCTCCCACACCCCAACCTCCTGCCCTAGATAAGATAAGAAAAGATAAGAGAGAAAGTTCTTTTTCTTGGATGGGTCCCGAGAGGGGACCTCCGAAAATGAAGCTGCGCACAGGGCCCCACTAACTCTACATCCGCCCCTGCTTGTGACTTCCCATCTCAGTCTGGCTCAGGACCGTAGAGCTCTAGGGACATAGGACCTCCTGTGTCATGGAGTCCAGCCCACGCTACCATGGGCCCCTGTCATATAATCCCATTCATAAATGTACCAAGCTCCATCTTCAAACTAGCCAGGTGGTTCCCCTCCCCTCCCCCGCACTGGGGGCTGGTCCCAATCCTCACTCTTCAGCTAGTTAGAAACCTTGTTCTACACCTCTACCTCGATATAACGCTGTCCTCGGGAGCCAAAAAATCTTACCGCGTTATAGGTGAAACCGCGTTATATCGAACTTGCTTTGATCCACCGGAGTGAGCAGCTATGCTCCCCCCGGAGCGCTGCTTTACCGCGTTATATCAGAATTCGTGTTATACCGGGTCGCGTTATATTGGGGTAGAGGTGTAATTTCCAGGCTAAATTTACTCAGAGCCGGGAAGGGGGACACGGGGTAAAGGCTCAGCGGCGTCAGAGCCGGGGAGGGGACCCGGGGTAAAGGCTCGGTGGCGTCGGGGCCAGGGAGGGAATGCGGGGTAAAGGCTCCGCGGCGTCGGGGCCGGGGAGGGGGATGCGGGGTAAAGGCTCAGCGGTGTCGGAGCCGGGGAGGGGGACGCGGGGTAAAGGCTCGGTGGTGTCGGAGCCGGGGAGGGGGATGCGGGGTAAAGGCTCGGCGGTGTCGGAGCCGGGGAGGGGGATGTGGCGTATGCTTGCTTAGAAACTAACCCCAATAAACATCCCATTGTCTGCACTTTGGACTTCTGGTCTTTCGCTGCTTGCTGTCTGCGTGACAAGAACCAGGGACGCGGGAAGGTTGAAGGAAAGCCCTCTAACACCCAGGCTTTCTCCTTCAGCAGCTTCTCCTTCCCTATCAGCTATTTTTTGCTTCTGTTCAAGTCCTAGCTGCTGGTTTGTCACTGCAAGCATTTTCCCTGGGTCTGCTTCCTTATCACTGGCAATTAACAGATTTTTCAATTCCTGCTCTGCGGCCTTTTGCTTACAATACAACCCTCTCTGTAAGCACAATTCTTCTAGGCTTTTTCTGTCAGGATCTTGATCACGGGTCACTCACTGTAACTGATTTTTAACCCTTAAACTCTCCAATATCAAAATTAAATTTTGACAAGTGTGTGGTTCTGATCCAAAAACCCAATTCACCTGTGGTAATGTGTATCCAAGCACAACTACACCACTGTGACCCGGGTCCCAGTGGGGGCCAGCTGTGGTCACTCAATTAGGGTGAACTGCAAAGACTGGGGCAGCCAAACCCCCAAAAGCTGGTGGATATTCCAATACTTAGATTCACCAGGCCAGCATAAAACAGCTTCTTTATTACCTTACTGGTTACTCACAAGTCCAAACAACACAGTTCCCTTAAAGTGATCCAGCCTCAGGCCTCCATCCAGGTACCCACGTCAAATATGATGAACATTTTTGTAAATCTTATTTCATCATATAAAAGAAAAGGTTCTACCAATCCCAAAGGATCGGACACATTGCCTCCCAGGTTAATGAATGTTTCAGATCTTACCCAAATACACACTACGGCCAATTCTTATTAACTAAACTAAAATGTATTAAAAAACAAAAGAGAGAGAGGCTGGTTAAAAGATCAATATACAGACAGATACGAGTTCAATCCATTGAGGTGCAGATTCACAATCACAGCAGAGATGGTGAGCTTTGTAGTTGCAAAGAGGTCCTTTAGAATTCAGGTCATAGGTCATAGTCCAATGTCTAAATCTCATATTCAGGGCGTCCCAGCCGAACTGGGACCTCAGTCTTGCGACTCAAACTTCCCCTGATGAAGTCTAAGCAGATCTGAGATGACAGAATCAGGACCCAAGGATCTTGTATACAATTTCATGTCCTCTTTGGGATTTCCTCGAGGAACAAAAAGTCATTAGGATGACTTTGAAGGAGGTCCATCACCAGTACTTAGCTATACGAATTAACATAAGGCCGTTTGCTTTTTCCTCCACCATTCACAGTACCGGAGATATCCCGTGTTTACAATTCATTTAAATGCTAGGATCTTCTTTTGACCTCTGAATTATCAGAGTACAGCATAGACAGGGACTGTTGATTACATTGTCCACCCTACTCATACATATGTAAATACACAAAAACACAAACACTATCTCCCCCTGTGTCTTTTGAGGGTTATTTATTTGGCGGGATGTTTAACCCTTTCTAGCCATGCGTCACAACAACAAATATCCACAGTGAAAAAACTGTAACCAGTAATTATTGACTCAAACTGGTGGAAGGAATTTGTCCAGTAAACTATCTGACCAATCCTGCCTATTGCGCAGCCTTGGGATTGCTATAGTCACCTCCAGTGAATGATACAGGGGCACCTGCAATGCACCTACATCCCCTCCCCTCTCTGACTCTCCATGTTGGGAAATGCCCTGCTCGTGGGGGGCGGGGGAGAAAAGGAGATGGGAGATTTTGTTTTGAGGGTTGGAGGCCTGGGACAAGCTGCGTCAGGCAGCGTGGGAGCGGTTGCGGGACACAGACTTGGGGCTTCTTTGGGGGATCTCTCAGGTGAAGGTGAGGGAAGCGGTACACGACTGCTTGCTTCAGGGCATTTCCCAGCTGCTATGGGGCAAACGCTAACCACGGTGGGGATCAGGAACCAGCTCCACCTGTGCCTACCCCAGTCTCCCTGGCTGAGCAACAGGGGCAGGGAGCTGCAGTGTTTTCTGCTCAGGCAGAGGCTGTTAACCCCTGTGTGCAAATTACCTGCTGCTGCCACCTCTCCCTGCTCTCGCTCGTTGGCTGCCAGAGACTTTTCATGTGGTTACATCTAGTCCCTGAGCTGTTTTTCAAGGGAGCTGCACTGAAACAGACTTTCCATGTTTACAGCAGGGGCAGAGCCGTTTGTGGGCTGCTTGCTTTCTCCCTTTGTTTCCACTACAGGCCAGACAAAACACACACACACCTCCCACCCCACCCCCGCTGCTCAGCGTGTTCCTTGAATTCACAATGACATAGGGTGACATTCCCATCTTCCACCCCACCCCCACCGCAGTCTGGGGAGACTCCATGGATCGCTCTGGAGTTACCGGGACAGCCGTGTCACTGAGATCAGAATTCAGCCCAGACGGCGGAGTGTAAAATACCAGATGCGCCAGTGACAGGTCATTTTCACGAGCCCCCAGAGGTCTCTTCCACTGGAGCTCAGACCCCACTACCAAACGGTGACCAGGGTGCAAAGATGGGCTGTGTCTGCCTTAGTGAGCGCTTACCCACTGGATCCAAACTTCCACGGCTGATCAGCAAAGCACCGTGACCTTTGCAGCGGGGTGCGAGCCCCAGACAGACGCTTCTTCCTCCTACAGTGGAAACTGATGTTCTCTTGAAGTTAAAGCTCCTTGTGTCTGGGTGAGAACTTTAGTCACTTCTCACT